GCCCGCGCGCGCCCCGGCCCCGCCGGCGGCCTTCTCAGTCACCGGCGGCGGGGTCGACCCATTTACGGGCGGCGCGGGCCCCTCCAGCAGCGGCGGCGCGGCGGCGGCCGCGGCGGCGCCCGCGCCCGGCCTGGCGTACCTGCTTTTCGACGCGCCGCCGCCGGCGGGGGCGCTCGGGAAGAAGCTGCGCGAGTTTAGTAATCAGCTGGCGGGCGACGGTGAAGTTTCGCACCTGGTGCTGACGGCGGAGGAGGAGGCGCCGGGAGGTGCGGTTGAGCGCTTGGGCGGCCATGTATAGCGCGCATCACCTGCCCGTTTGAGTTCAGGGGGTGGGCAGATCGCAAGGCTATGCGCTGCGCAGACGCAAAGCCAGAGGCGGGGCTGATTGCACCAGTGCCATAGAGAAGCCGGGTTTGAAACGGTGCAACCCACCTGCACCAGAAACGCCGCATCGCTCTCCCCTGCCCCCCTTCACACACAAACACACACGTGCACACGCGCGCACGCCCGGCGCAGGCCCCCTGGACGGCCTCCTGCAGCGCCTGCCCGCCCTCGCCTCGGGCGCTGCCGGCCCCTTGTCCCCCGCCGACGCGTCCCTCGTATCCCGCCTGCTGCAGTGGCCCGCCCCGCAGCTCTTCCCCGGCCTCGACGTCGCCCGCTGCGTCGCGCTCGACCCCGCCGCCGCGCCCGCGCTCGCGCTCGGCAGCATGCGCGAGCCGCGGCTCGGGACGCTCGCGTGCGCGCTCGCGGCGGCCGCGGTCGGCGACGCGCCCGCGGCGCGGCAGACGGCGCTGCGGCTGGCCGCGAACCTGTTCAAGCGGCCGGAGATGCGGGCGTGGGCGCTGGCCGAGAGGGAGCTGGTTTTGGACGGCTTTGCGGGCTGCCACCGGCCCGAGGCCGGCGGCAGCAAGGGCGTGCGCCTTGGATACGCGACGCTGCTGCAGAACTACGCAGTCGCGGCCGCCGACGCGGCCTCGCCGTTGTCTCGGGACCCTGAGGGGAAGATGCAGGTGCTGTCGTGCCTCGAGGACCTGCTCGGGCAGCTTCCTGCTGACGAGGCGGACGCGGCGGCGCGCGCGCTCGGCGCGGTTGTTGCGCTGGCGTCTGGGGACGCTGAGCTGGCGGCGGTCGCGCGGGACCTGGGGCTCGTGGCGGCGGCGGCGCGGCTGGCGGCGGGGGGCGGGAAAGCGGCGGCGGCGGCGGCGGCCGTCGCGCGCACGCTCGGTGGATGAGTCGTGCGCGGCGGGCACGCGGAGGGCGGGCTGCTTTGGGCTGCGGCGCCTCTTCGATGGTGATGTAAGCGTTTGCAATGGTGAACGGCGCTCAAGTGCTGCAGGCGGAAGCGTGAAGCATGCGGCCGGCAGGGCTTTCGCTGGGGTGACACCTGCGCCCGCCGGCGCACATGGCTCTCGGTCACCTCGCCGGCCACGTCGCACGACGCCAAACCACTCGCTCGCATCGTCGCCACCCGCCCACGGCGCAACAAGTGCGCGTCCAGCCGGCGGACTGTGCCCCTGCACGCACGCTGCCGGCAATGGCTGTGAACGAGGCGGGGCTGCGGCACCAGCCTAGCTGAACACTCCGGGTGGTTGCGGCGGCGAACGAGTTTTGGCAGCTGCCGCCCTGCCATTGTTGGGCAGCCACGACCCCCAGGTGGATCCTTAACGAGCGCTCTGCTCGGTTCAGGTGCATTCGGACGCCACATTCTGCCGCGTTCACGGGTTCCAACAAGACCCCGGTCGAGCCCTCAAGGGGTTGCAGTTGCCAGACATGGAGCAGCAACAGCAGCTCGCCCAATTTTCTCTGAATGCGGCTGGTGGATCGCTTGTGTTGAGGGGGGCCAAGAAGGGGTCCATGACCTCTGGCCCCTCTGATCGGCTGGCGATCACCCCCTTGGCGGGCTCTTGCAGCTTCACCACGCGGGCTGCCAATGGCGTGACCAAGAACATGCTGGTCGTTCGCCGCGGGCGCGGCCACGCCGCGCGCGGCGCGCCGCTGCCGTTCGCCTCGCTGTCGGTCGCCCTGCCGTTCGCCTCGGCGACGGTCACCAAGGGCAAGGGCAAGAGCAAGGCCGCGGAGGCCAAACCTGAGGAGGCCCCCAAGAAGAAGAAGAAGTCCGCCAAGGACGTGTTTGACGCGGCATGCAAGTCCGCGCTGCGCGGCGGGCTGCCCGGGGCGGCCGCCATGGGCATCCAGGTGTGGTGGGCAGGACCGCCTTGGGCAACAACGCCCGGCCAAACGCCGCCCCCGGCGTCGCCGCGCAGCACCCTCCCGGCCCTACATTGTGGCAGCTGCCACCCGCTGTCGCCGCGCCCCTCGCATGCATAGTGAGGGGCCCGCAATGGCGCCTCTCTCGACCCCCGCTTCACAC